GTAAACCAAAGAGCCAATTATTTTTTCTCCCTCCCCCCAGTTACTGTTTCTTGCTCAAGGGCTGCAGAGACCTCCCAGCTTCCCTATCTCAAGACTTGCTGATTAACTGTTACTTCTCAGAGACAAGGGCGCCCTTCTCCAATTTTGTTTGTCAGCAAGGGCTGTAATGATTTCATTGTTTCCATCCCTTTGCTGCCACTCTGGCATTGGCTGTGGTGGAAATGTCAGTGAGATTTCTTAGTTAGCCAGTTAGCTATTGAAATCTCGCAGTCGGAAGAAGAGATGGGGTTGCTCTTATAAAAAAGAGCGGAGGCTAAGCAAATTGGAGCTCCAGATCTAAGGCGCCGTCTCCTTGGGGTTCATGTCTAGATATTTTGGTCTGAACGGCAGAGGCTTCTAGATGTCAGACTCCTTGTCGGTTGGCTGCCAGTGTCATTGGATGCCTGATAGTGGGTTCTGCCTATGTATATGAACTGGAGACACCAGGGTGTCTAATCCCAAAGCTTGTCTGGGTGATGGAAGCACTCTGAAAATAGAGCTGAGTCTCCACCTGCGTATCGCTAAGATTTCAAGTCCAATGGCTGAAACCTGGAGTGGCCAGGGCTTCCAGATATGTCAGAAAAGTGCTACTCTGTAAGGATTTTCTGGAGAGAAAGGGAAAATGACCACAAATTAACCACTTTTCATTTTTTCTTTGTAGCCACTTTAAAAATGAACTAGGCAGAGAGGAGGTAGCATGGAGCAAGCTGAGAATTATCTCCCCATGCAGCAGATTGACAGACATCTGTACCGCATACCGGCAATAGTTTCCGTAATCATTAACTCAGCAGGGATATTTAGGATGCCTTCCCAGCATGTGAGCGCTCATACACGAGTTTTAAACAATATTGATGTTTATTTTAAGTGTATGGATGGCTTGCCTGCATGTGTGTTCTGTATACTACTTATACGTAGTACCTTGAGGGATACTGAAGAGGAGTTAAGTCCCCCAGAACTGGCATTGTAGAGTCAGGTGCTGGGAATCAAACCTGGGTCCTCTGTAAGAGAAGCCAGTGCTCTTAACCACAGATCCATCTCTCCAGCCCCTGAGTTATTTTTGAAGATACTAGAAAGTAGAGCATGTACCTTAATTTTTGAAATGCAAAGCACAGTGAAAATGTAGTTTTGAAACAGAGCCCTTGTTCTGCAATAGAGATACCAGGACACAGAATCCATTTACAGTATGTGTTTGGGCCAGCCAAGTGGGGTGGGGTGGGTTGGGGTAGGAGCTGTCAGTGTTACCTTGCCTGTGAGTGACTCACCAAATCAGGAAACTTCAATTGTCACCATTTGGACAATTGAGATACAGTAGTTTACTGGATAAAACTCTGGGCATCCACACACTTGTTTTGAGGAATGTGCTTCCAGTTAAAGGAACCAGTGAAGAGAAGGCAGAGTTAATGTCCCCCCCTCAAGATTTATTTATTATGTAATACAGTGTTCTGCCCTCATGCCAGAAGAGGGCACCGGGCACCAGATCTCATTATAGATGCTGTGAGCCACCATGTGGTTGCTGGGAATTGAACTCAGGACCTCTGGAAGAGCAGCCTGTGCTCCTAACCTCTGAGCCATCTCTCCATCTCCCCATCCCCCCATGTATCTCTTAACAACCTTCTAAAATGTAGTTTTCCATTCTGTTGAACTGAAACTTCTTTAACAGAACAACTTCAGTCAATCTTTTAATTAAAACAAAAGGTTGAAAAAGTCCTGTGTGTCCCTCGTTATTTTTTTATTAGGGAAGTTTTGAGCTATACTTAGGGGCTACAGCCATATCTACTTCTTGTAATTTTGTAGATGTAAAGTGGAAAGGCCAGGCTTTTGCCAAAAGTTTTTAGAGATGACTTACAAAATTCAATAACCTACCCTATATAAATGTAACCAAACATTTTTACTTTATATACCTTTGTCTTTTTTTTTTTACTGAATACTAATACCTTATTTATTAACTGTTTTCAATTTTTTAATTGACTTTAAACTTGTATCAATAACCTACCCCATATAAATGTAAACACTTTTATATACCTTTGTCTTTTTTATTGAATACTAATATCTTATTTATTAACTTTACCAATTTTTTAAATTTACTCATCTTTAATCCATCCTCCCATTGAGGATGATCTTTTAACCCACCCTCCAACTGAGGGCAACTTTTTATATTAGGTTTTGTTTTTTTTTGACCTTTGTTAGGCAAAGGCCTAGACGTTTAATTTGGTACCCCTAGCTCGGTACCCCCTTTTTAATACATCCTTATAGCCTTATTTGTTGGCCAGTCTTTTAAATCTCTTAGTTTTTTAAAAAAATTTTTTGAGCCTTGCAAGGAGTTGTAGGGAGGAGGAGCAACTGAGTAATCCTCTCTCCTGTTGGGATGGAGACAACCCCACTGGCCACTGATGTCATTATTTTAATCTCTCCTTTGTTATTTTGGTCTATAACCCCAGGGTGTACCTGGATGCCTTGAAGGATAGTACTGGACCGTCCCAAGAGTAGTCCGACTGTGCCTGGGGGCAATGGCCCATGTACCCCAGTAGGGAGGGCCTGGATCCCCATCTCGGGTGTTAGGACTGCCCGGGTGGAGGGACCGATGTCCAGTCCTGCATTGCCTGAAGTGGCTCTAAGGAGGTCTGAGATATGAAGGGGTTGTTCTGGGGGAGTAAACGAATCTTGCTGCTGCCCACAGCGGGGGTCATTGTCCCATATACATTGGTTTTGGGGCCCTGGGGCGGGGCCCTCTTTTAGTTTTTTTGATTATTATTAGTAGGAAGGAAATTGCCCCCCAAGTCAGTTCTAGAGTAACAGTCAGTGGCCCAATGATATCCCTTTTGGCAGCGGGGGCATAAACCAGGTCTCTTGAGACTAGTAGTACTATTTTGAGTGTAGTCTCTATGGAAGTGTCCCTCCCTACCGCAGTTGAAACATGTTTTTTTTCCTCCCTGATTAGATCTTTTTTTTCCCCCTTGGGGTTGAATAGTAGTAGCTAACACTTGGCCCTGGATGAAATTACCATTAATGTCTCTACAGATCCGGATGTAGTCATTTAGACTTTTGTTGTGGTGGGGGCGAAGAGCCTCCTTATAGTACTTATTTGTATTTTTAGAAGCCATTTGTTTGATAATTGGCATCGCAGGCCCAATGCCCCCAAATATTCTCTCTGTTACCTGACTGAGGCGGTCTACAAAGTCTTGGAAAGGTTTGGAGGGTCCTTGAAGGACTCTGGACAGGTGATCCCCTCCTTTCTTTGAAGGCAATGCTTTTCAAGCACCTTGGGCTGTTGCTGCCATTTGGGCATAGACAGCGATGTCATATTGCATTTGTTGTTGAGTGGTGGCATACTGACCACTCCCAGTAAGCATCTCCACATTTCTCTGGGGCTGTCCGGCCTGTGTATTCCTTTGGGCTATTTGGCTGTATCTTTCTTGAAACTCACTTCTCCAAATCAAATAATCTCCCCCGGACAAAGCTGCTCTGCAAAGCTGCTGCCGATCGCCAGGTGTCAAATTAAGAGGCATAAAATATTTTATTAAGGAAAGTGTAAAGGGAGCCTGTGCTCCATAATTTAAAGTTGCCTCTTTCAGTTGTTTTATATTTTTGAAACTTAAAGGGTTATGGCGCCTAATGACCCGCTCAGGGTTGTTTGGGTCTGGAACTTTCATTATTGGGGCCACCACCGGACAGCATTGGACCCCTCCTCTGGGTCTTCCCTCCAGGTCCGAGAAGGAGGAGTCCCTCATTTTAGAGTATGGAGGGTTTCTCTCCCTGTCCTGTCTTTTTTTAATTTGAGTCCTTTTTAGTGTCTTTTTAAGGGCCGAGACCTCAGTAAGTAACCATTCCTTCTCAGACTCTGACGAGTCAGAGTCTGGGTCTGAGCTATTTTCATTTTTTAGGTCTGACAGAGTAGGATATACCTGATTTTGACTGAAGTCCCTCCTTTTGGGTCGCGCCCCGAGATTTTTATTAACTCTTTTGTTGTTAAGAGGCTCCTTCTCATCCTCACTAACAATGGAGCCTCTAGTTTTAGTTAGGGTTTCTCCAGATGATTTACTGTCACTCTCTGCCTCAGAACTCATGGAGGCTTGAGTCTTAATCTCTTGTAACTCTGAAAAAGCCTCTTTTGTGGCCTGGACTACCTGGCGGTGGCTAGCCTTATCTGTCAAGAGTGCGCCCTTCACTAATCTCCATAAGGAGAATGTAGATGGGGGCAGGGACTCAGGTCCCTCTTTTCATAAAAGTTGATGAAGATCATGGCGAACCTCCTCCCAATCTGGGATATTTAAGCTCCCCCCGGTAATGAACCATGGACTGGCTCGTTCGATTGACTTTAGAAAGCCTTCTAAGGTTTTAGACTTTACTGTAGTCCCGTGTCCTTTAAGTAACTTTTTAACTTGATACTGTAATTTAAGCTTCCCAGAACTATTACCCATGGTTTCTTTTCTTTTTTTTTTCCCCAATCTGTCCCTGGCCAGAAAAAGAGACGAACCCGCTCACTTACCTCGCTTTCACAATCTCGGTGGGACCTCCAATTGTCGCACCTGCTGTGCGGCCTGCATCCGAGAATGTAGCGAGGTGGTCGGGATAGATGACACAGAGACCGGTCAGTTGCTTTAAGAAAACTTTATGCTTCCCAAGTCAGCTTAGGAGGAGACCCCAGTCCGCTTAGGAGAGAGCTCTCAGGAGAAGTCTCTCCAAGAAAAAACGCTTCTTTGGACAGTCGAGTCTTATCATATTGTGCTGACTATATTTGCGATAATTACTTTTGCAGTTGTATAATGACTAGTAGGTTCAAATACTTCTGCATAGTCAGCCCCGAATCTGCAGTCCCTGGAACACAGATTGCACTTGGAGAATCTGGGGTGGAAGATGTCAAATGTTGTTAGATGCCTCTTCTTCCCCTTCTAGAAATCACCCTTTATCTTTTGGGCTGCTGGGCCGTCTGTCTTAAAATTTTTTTTCTTGAAGGAATGATGACGAGGAATGCTGCAATGGAGCAAAACCTTGAGCCTTGAGGCCCCCAATGCATAACTACGGGGAAGATGTTAACCCGTAAGTCAGAGCAGGCTGCTTTTGATGAAGACTCCTCTGATTGTATAGGCTGTTGTCACGTCTTCAAAAACAATGAAGCCAGAGAGGCGCCGTGTACCCTTCCTGTTGCATGTACTCTTCCTGTTGTCCCTTCATCCATGGGAGGAAGTTGACTGACTTTCAGAAAGTACGGTAAGTACAGTTCAGACTCTGTAGGAGAGGGCATGAAAGATGCCTTGGGGTTAGGTATGGGTGTCAATCCTGTGTGACCAGTGGTGGCAGTGTTGAGCAACAGAGTGCCCTATCTCTATTCCCATGGATCCACGGCCTCGCATTCACCTCAAATTCGGGCTCAAGAGGACTCAAAAGAATTTCCCTACCATTCAGCAGAATTAGAAAGTACGAAAAGGTGGTAATGCATTCGTTGCATAATCTTCAGACTGAGTTATAGGCCACACATGTTTAGCATGGTGTGTATATGTAAGGATTTGTTTCTGGGTCCAGGGAGTAAAGCCTCTTCTCTCTTGTTGAAATAGGCCTGGTTAACACTGATGTTGGAAGTGAACATACTGAACTCGTCATTTAGAAGAGAGAGATGGAAGTTTGTGGACTGAATTTACATGAAAAGGAGTGCTTCTCTGGGCCTTCTGGTACCTGGTAGGTCAGAAGATCAGTGTTTGGCTATAGATAGCATAAGGATGCATAGCTTCCTATTGCTAATGCTATCCCCTGATTTCTGCTGCGCTTGTCACTTTCTGCTACATACGTTTCGTCTGGACAGGAGGACTTCAGTAGTCTCTTCCAAAGTCAAAGGACTGGCTAGGCATGTCTGACCCAGACCTCAGATGACCCAGGAGTGCTGTGTGGCTGATAGGGAGGGCTGTGTCAGCACATGTTTGAAAAAATATAGATCATGTGGAACCCACCACAGAGGGGGAGCTCTCTGGAGGCTGCCCTGATGCAGGTGTTCCATTGTGCAATCCCACAAGGCTTTCAGCTCGCTCAATGGACAGGGCCAGGATTTGATGCGAAATTAACCAGAAATAATGGCAAAGAAGCAGCACCTGGTGGGACGGCTGGCTCAGTAAATGCTCTTTGACTGTTAAGTGGAATGGGGGATACGGTCGTAATAACGTTATTCTTTAACCATCTCTTAAGTGCCCGTCAGAGTAGCTGAGGTGCATCAGCTCCATGCTTTTGGGATACTTGCAAGACACTGGTACAGGAGCGGACAAGGTCCCAGTGTTAGCTGGGTGGCCTTGGATGAGTTACATAACCTCTCTCACCATTATCAGTAATGGAGCTGACAATAGTCCCTGTCACTTATGATTTCTGTACAGACTGAGTGATACGAATGCCAGGGTGGCCCATGCTAAGCACTGCAGAAGTGTTTTTCCATCATCAGCCAAAGTGAATCCGGCACATTCCATTCATCTTTGGTCTTTATGCGCTGAAATTAGTGCTGTTTCCCCCTCTTGTTGCTATGGTTACTAATGCATTAATTGTACAGGTTTATGGGCTCACTAAGACAGCACCGTAAGTGTGAACACTGGGCATTTTTCTCATTTCCTTTTTGTTGCTATGATAAAACAGTCTGACTAATGCAACGTAGGGAAGGAAAGAGTTCTTCCGACCTATACTTCCAGGTGTACAGTCCCTCATTAGTGGAAGTTAGGGCAGGAATTCAAGCATGAACTTGAGGCAGAAACCAATAGAGCCTGCTAGCTAGCCTAAAGGTTCACACATAGCTAACTCTCTTGTACATCCCAGGACAACCTTGCCAGGAATTGGTGTTACCTACAGTGGGCTGGGCTCTCATGTGTCAATTAACAATTGAGACAAACCCTGTAGACCATTCTGATCAGGGCAACTCCTCCACTGAGAGCCCCTGCTTAGATGACTCCAGGTCAGCAGTATTTAACCCATGGATTGCAACTGTCAGAAAACACATATTTCTATCTCTGATGGTTTGAGGAACTCAACCAAAAGTTTATTTTTGTTGCTACTTCATAACTGTAACTTTGCTTCTGAGTGGTATCTCAGTTCCGAAGACCACCGGAAACGTGTTTTCTGATGGTCATGACCCATAGGTTGAGAACTGCTCTTCTAGGCTGTATGGCTGTGTTGAGCTCAAAGTTTAGCAAACTGGACAGAGAGGCAGTGTCAGGAAGAACCCATGTAACACAGGCCTGTATGAGCCAGATATGATTTTTAGGCCATAGCACCTAGTAGAAGGTGTCTAATGCCAGCGTGCCCAATTTCCAGCTCTGTGGGATGACACTGATGCTCTCTCTGCTCAGGAGCTGTGTGAGAAGGAATCTGCCTCATGGATTGTGAGTTGGTGTGCTCACCTTTTAATGGGACTATCTTAGAAAGAGCAGTAACGGACTTTCTGTAACAAGAGAAGGCAGAGTTAAGGCAGTGAATAAAGATAATGTGATAGTTACCAGTCTTGGGGACAATAAGATACTGATTGCTGTGAGCATGGTTTCATTTATCCCTCCTGACAGGCTTAGGGGTCAGTATTTTCTTTTATCACAAGGACATGGAGGACAAGGAGCTGGCATGGAGGACTACAGTCTCTAAGCAGTTTGGTGGATAGCGGAGAAGGGTGGAGCCTGGTGTGTTTCAGTAGCTCTGGACCAGGTAGAGAGCCAATGAATGGTAGTCAAGATCATATTGAGTCTGCCTGATTCCAAAGCCTAGGTTCCTTCCCTGCTGGAGCAGGTTTTCCAGATAGCAGTTACTGCAGAGTGATGCAGGGTACCCCCACTCTTCATTATGAACTGTTTCTAAGCTCTTATTACATGTCCACCATATGGCTTCTGGTCCTATGTCCCCATAACACTAACAGAGGAACTCAATGGCTGCTGGCAATATACTTTCTATAGTTCAGCAAAATTGAAATTCCTACCAATGGACCTTGCTCTTCTGAATGTCTGCTCTACACTGGCCCTTGATAAAGACAACTTCACCCATCATGTCTAGTCCTAATCTCAATCTTGTAAAATAGCAGCTTTAATTCTGTTTTGCACAAAGAGGTGGTGAGAGGAGTTACAGATGTGAGGTCTGAATGCATGATGTTAACACCCCAACTTGGCTCTGGGCACCTATTGGGCATTGCTAAGAATTGACAGTTCAAGGGTATTGGGCACACCTCAGGATCTCCAGGAGTACAGGCTTGGAATCCACAACCAGTTCTTTAAAGTATGTGTGTTGTTGAATGAATATAGTGGCGGTGGCCCCTAGTAGGTCATGTTGCACCTCAGGATTAGATCAGTGGTCAAGTAACTACAGGTAGCAGATGAGTAGAATAAGTAACTACAAATTACAATACATCAAAATGTACAAATCTGAGCTCACATTTCCTCAGGGGAAAGACATTAGGCAAAAAGACTTCAAGTACCTGATTTTCAGATTTTATTTTCTGAGCTTAATGCATTGCACTTTTACTATCTTGTTCCACTAAAGAAATATCCTAAGGGGACCTGAGTATGTGTAGCTCAGCGGTGGAGTGCTTGTCTAGCATGCACAAGACCCTCCATTCATCCTGGGCACTGCTGTCCCCTAGTTTTGAAGAATAAGCGAAGCAGTCCAGTTTATAAGAAGTGACAGCTGTGAGTGAGATAGCAGGTGTAACCAGTAAATTTAGTCTGACGCTGGCCATATAAGTGGAAAATTACACTGGAAGCTTCCACTCGGTGTAGCATTTAGTTGTGCTCCAGTGCTAAGGACTGGTTAATGGTGTTCTTGAACCATAGCTCTCAGGCTTACTAAGTGGAGTTGACTTAGTGGCATATGTTTCCTTTGATTGTTAATGGTGACTTTCTACTATACTCTTCTCACTAGCTTCTTTCTGGTTGTTATATGGGAGCTATTGCTTTTGGAGACCACAGTCCCATCCTTAAGGCAAGCCACACTAGCTGGAGCCTCCCCTCCTGATAATTGCAGAGGTTGAACATAAAGCCTGCAACTCCCATGCCTTAACGTTTGTGAACTGTTGGTACAGAACGCAATTGCTTCCTGTGTTTTTGGTGAGAGTTGGGGTTAGACATTTTATTGGTTTAAGAATTTTCAGAAGTTTTTCCATTTAAAATAAAGTTCATTTTTAGAAAATTCAATGGAGAGGAAAATCAATTATCTATGTTTTTTCTTTGGGACATGTTTTTTCTGTTGAAACACACCCCAGCCCTCCCCTTTCAAAAGTCTGGATGCTTTGACTAAATGAACCTTTCTCATGACGGACAATGAGGCTGACATGGATAGTCTGGAGCCCAGAGGTGAAGGTCATATCCCTCATGGGTCAATTCCCCAATTGCAAGGGGCCAAAGACCCCAGGTTCCCTTAGCACCAAGCCCCCACCCCACCTGTCTTGAAAGTGACACAGGAACTTCAGAAATGGGTGCATGAGTCACATATACTTCCTGATATACACGAAGCCTATAAGATGTTTGAATATTACAAAAGTATTGGCTCCAAGCTCTAGTGATGCAAACATCCTTCACTAAATGTTCAGGTTTATCAGAAACTCCACCACAAACTAAATCCACAATAGTGATAAAACACATACAGATGTATAATTTAAAATAAGGCAGGAATAACCCAAATTAGCAATGACAACACAACATGTAGTGAGACCCTTGAATGGAACCATATACTAGTGCCTGGTTATACTCTTGCTCTACTGATTACCGCTTTTTGGTAAACCTTGAAGTGTGTGATTTAAGAATATCCATTTTTGAAGTGGAAACAGACCTTGCCTGCTATGTAGCTCTGCCTGGAACTCTCAGTGCCCACTTTCGTTCTGGATACTTCTGCATACTTTTGTTCTATTGGGTCACCTATGAGAGTCTCATTGGTGCCCTGTCACTACTTTGCCAGCGATTGTAGAAATGTCTACAAATCATATGCATCCATGGACTGATGTCTAATTAGTTCGAAACTCTAGAAACTGCCTCAAAACAGGACACAGTGTGACACACAGCCATTGCATTGCTTTTCTAGTTGCAGTAACAAAACACCCGGGCCAAGCAACTTAAGGAAGGAAGAAGGGAAAGAGAAGAAAGGGGGAGAAGTAAGGGCTTCTCTAGGCTCACAGTCTGAGGACATATAGTCCATCACTTCAGGGAAGATGTGGCAGCTGGTAGGCCTATGGAAGCAGGTGAAACTAGGCATCCTCACCAGCTCAGATCTTGTCAAACAGGAAGCATAGAACAGACTGGAAGTGGGGCTGGGCTATAAGTCCCCAAGTCCCACAGCCTTCCAAAGCAGCACTATCAACAAGAGCCCAAAGGGTCAAACAGGAGCCTGAGAGGACCAGTAACATAGAAATCCCAACAGCTACACTCCCCAGTTCCCAGACAGCATCAAGATCGATCAACTGCCATTCAGGACTCTCTGCTGTCCTATTGCTCTATCCATGGATTCTCCTCTCCTGCTTCTCCCATACCCTCCTGATTGTTTCTGGAAGCAGTCTCAAATGAACAGCTTGCACATGAGTTACCATCTCTGAGACTGCTTCTAGGGAACCTAATTTAAGACCCCATCATAGCTGACCAGCTGGAACAAAAAATAAATCAAAACAAGCAGTCTTTAGTCACAAACAAAGATAAAGACTGCACTTGTGTTGTTGAAGGTCTCACTAGTAGACTGCTTCT